TTGGAGCAACGCATGTAAATTTACTTTTGTGCATTAGGCTAGTTTCTACACCACACAGACATATATACCCAGTCTCTCTCCTCCATCCAGACAAGCAAGAGACATGTTCAGAGTTCAAGGACACATCCCAGACAGACAGAAACATTCAAGGAGGATGCAAAGCAGGCCACTCGGGTTGTGGCCTGCGGAGAGTTCCAAGGGCCAAATAGAGAGGCCTGGGAGCCTCAATTCAGCCCCCAAGCCTGAGGTTCCTTGTCCCTGCTCAGTTCCCTGTGCTTTGACTACAGCATACTTCCTTCTTGCTAAATATCATGGGAGCCTACACTGTGGGGTCCAATGGCTGATGTGGCGCTCTGCCTCTTTTCCTTCAGGCTCATCCTGCTCACAGTGTTTCTGCTGCTGCTGTGTGGCATAGGCGCCAGCTGTGTCCGGTTTTGCTGCCGTAAGAAGAGGCCCCCGATTCAGACTTTTCCGCCTCATGCCCACGACCTCACCATCATCCCTATGGACCACGACAGCACCGCCCACAGCACTGTCACCTGTGAGTATTTGGCAATCCCAAATTTTGGGAGCCGTGGGGGGGAAAGTGAGAAATCTATCCTACCTTGCAGCTGGAAAACAGTGTGGAGATGGGTTGTTTTCATCCATTCATTCAATATGTACAGTGGTGGGGGAACCAAAGGTCCAAAAGCAGTCCACTAAGCCCTACCCATTGGCTCTCTCTCTGGGCCCCAATCCTTGCAGGCCCTACTGTGCTGGTTGGAATGCGCCTTTGCACAGCAGGAGGGTCACCAAACCCACCCATCAATCTTCTGACATCATCGAGTGATGTCAGCAGAGGCGGGCAGGGTTCAATCAGAGAACCCACTAGCAAAGCAGACCCCTTCAAGAGAACAAGATTGACTTACTTCCCATCCGCCGAGTTCAAATCTTCTTGGCTGCCACTTTGCCAGTGGGTTCCCTGCGGCGAATGTGCTGGTGAAGCGGACCTCTCGCCCCATGGGTCAACTTTAGTCACCTGACATGATCAGGGCTTTGGGCAATTTGACAAATAAGTGGTCTCGCTCATCAGTCAGAGTTGACCTGTGTTGTGGGGAGATCAAAGCTCTGACCTGCTGGGCTGAAAAAGGATCTTCACCCCTGTTGTGAAGTATGTTTAGGTTATCTAGGCAAATAATAGTACTGTTCTATTCTGCTTTGGTCAAACCATACCTGGAGCACTGTGTCCGGTTCTGGGTTCTGGGCACCACAGTTTAAGAAGGATATCGACAAGTTGGAACGTGTGCAGAGGAGGGCAACCAAGATGATAGATGGTATGGAAATCAAGCCTTAAGAGGAACAGTTGAGGGAGTTGGATCTGTTTAGCCTGGAGAAGAGAAGACTGAGAGGCGATAGGATAGCCATCGTCAAGTATCTGAAGGGTTGCCTCATGGAAGCCAGCTTGTTTTCTGCTGTGCCAGAGCCTAAGACCCAAGCCAGTGGATTCAAATTACAAGAAAGGAAGTTGTGACTAAACAGTAGGAACTGTTTGATAGTGGAACAGACTCTCTTTCCTTTGAGGTTTTGAAGCAGAGATTGGATGGCCATCTGTCAGGGATTCTTTAGCTGTTACTCCTGCATTGCATGGGGTTGGACTAGATGACCCCGGAGGGGGGCTCCCTTACAACTCTACAGTTCTTCGTGCACCACCTTTGCCCTAAAAGGTGTCCTAAAACACCTGAAATAAGCCCTGTGAATGGTCCAGGGACCTGCCTTCCCACCATCCCTTCTGTCGAACATTTGTTGGGCTGACCTCCTAAAATGAACACTTTTCTGTGTTTTCTTTTTGCAGCATACAGCTCTCTGCAGTATCCTCAGAACCTCCCACTTCCCCTGCCCTTCAGAGAGGTGGATAGGAGTATGGCGAGCCCTCCGGCGTACAGCCTCTATGCCATTGAAATGCCGCCATCTTACGACGAGGCCATCAAGATGGCCAAGCCTTGCACTGAGACTCCAGTTGTTGTCCAGAAACTGGACAGCTGCACCTCGGAACAAACAGCCCCTGAGGAACAAAGTCAGCCGCAGACGACGCCAGAAGTGTCGTCAAACGACAACCCTGAGACATCGTCCAATGACAACCCTGAGACACCGTCAAACGACAACCCTGAGACACTGTCAAACAACAACCCTGAGGCAGTACAAGGAGGCCCTGGGGTTCCGGAAGCTTCCACAGAAGAGCAGCCGCAACCGTAGCCCAGCCCAGTGGGAAGAACTATTGGGCATGAGAAACCTGACCGTGTATGTACTTGGTTAGCCTGGAGAGAGTCAGAAGAGACCTGTTACACGGAAGGAATGTCTGCTGCCGGTTGTTATAACTTTCCATTGACGTTTCAAGGGTACCGAAGGGAACGGCAGGTTAAAAATACCGCTCTCTGCATGCGAGTGTGAAAAACGATGCTCTGGACTTAATATGGCTGTGGAGACAGGGTGGGGGCGGAGAAGAGCTGCTCTTGAGAGGACACCATGTGACCAGGCAAGGGGAAATGGCCGCTGGTTGGGCTTCAACGGAGGCCTGTTCCCCTTGTGGTTTGGTGAAGAAACGAGGCAAAACCAAATACAGGTTCTTGCTGCCTTCTTCTGAGAAGATTGAACTATCCAGCAAATTGCTGAAGTACTGGGTTCGTTGCTATGTAACGGCAGACGACCTTTGACTCCGATGGTTGTTTTAATGCTCCATGTTTTATCTGTAGGTAGAGGGGGGGTGCGGGACAGGGGAAGGGGGGTGGGAAGTTTTGATAATACTGGTCTAATCTGAAAGGCCAAAACGCCTTTCTAAGCAACTATCCCTATCCGAATCTGAAGAGATTTGTCCAGTTTTGTTCCAAAGATTCAGTTCCCTCAAAAAAAAAGAAATGTCTGGTTTTAAATGTAAATATATACATATACCATAATGCTAATGCGTCCTGTGCATTTGGGAATAGTGAATTGTTGGTGTGTGTGTTTTAATCAAGGGAGGGGGGTGTTTCTTAAGAAATACAGGCTGGCAAATTGCCCTCTAAGGAATGCTTAGTAAACAAGTGAAGACCTGTTTGAGAGGATCTGTGACATATCTTCATATAACGAGTGGAAACACGTTTCACTAAGCCCTTTTCAGAAGGGATAGTCCCCGGTGTTTAGTTTTTGTTCAGTTGTTTTTGGTGCTAGTCTAGTCCATAGTAAATCCCTCCGTTGACGTCACCTTTTGGGAGAGGTCTTTAGAAAAAAGGCGAGTTAAAGCGGCTAAACGATAGCAGTTCATACAATTATGCAGCACATATTGAACTGTGGACCTCGCTCCCGCAGGAGGCAGTGATGCCTACCAACCTGTGTGGCTTTAAAAGAGGATTAGACAAATTCATGGAGAAGGTCAACGATGGCAGGTAGCCATGTTGGCTATGCTTTGCCTCTGCTGTCAGAGGCTGTATGCCTCTGAATAACAGTCGCTGGGAATTGCAGTTGGACAGAGTGCTGACCTCCTCATGCCCTGCTTCCCACAGGCAGCCACGGCGAGAACAGGATGCTGGACTAAATGGGCCATTGGCCTCATCCAGCTGGCTTGTCTTATGTCAGTGGTTTTCAACCTGTTTGCCATGGCAACCCTGGGGTGCTTGAATGATGGTCAGGGGTGCATGGGCAACACTGGCCTCTGTCCCTTTTTCCTTCCCTCCCATCCCTCTGATGCCTTCTCGGCATCTCTGCCTCCAAATGGCTTACACAAGCTGTTTTGTTTGCAGGCAGCCCTGGCCTACAAGCTCCCCGGGTGGAATGATTCTTCCTGGAGCTGGACAGGGGCTGCTGGTTGCCAGGAGGCTGAGGCAGCTCCAGAAACCAGGGGTGGCGGCAGCAGCAGCAGTTTGGAGGACATCGCAGGGAGAAGGGGAGGAGGCTGAGGGAACAATCCACAAGGGATGTTCAAAAAAAGGGTGAGAGGCTGCCAGCTCGGAAGGCAAGGGGTGACATACCCTGGGCTCCTGCAGCCACTACAGGGGTGCCGCGAAAGAATGTACAGTGGTACCTCGGGTTAAGTACTTAATTCGTTCCAGAGGTCCGTACTTAACCTGAAACTGTTCTTAACCTGAAGCACCACTTTAGCTAATGGGGCCTCCTCCTGCCGCTGCGCCACCACTGCACGATTTCTGTTCTCATCCTGAAGCAAAGTTCTTAACCTGAAGCACTATTTCTGGGTTAGCGGAGTCTGTAACCTGAAGCGTATGTAACCCGAGGTACCACTGTAGTTGGTCAAGGGAGCCGTGGACCCAAAAAGGTTCTTAATATTGTGCTAGCTTCATGACGTGAAAGAGGGCTCCAGGAACTTCATTAGTGAGCATCCATCCCCTCAGTATGTCTCCTGGGCTGACTGACATTATGTGTAATTCATTCATAGAGGGGGGTTTCCCAAACTCAGTCATTCTGTCTGTTTCCAGTAGTTCCAGTTGTGAGTACCATTGCATATTTAGCTGAAGCAGTAGCACCCATGAGCGCAAGAAGCAGGCAAATATCTGCATCCCCGAGGAAGCTCAAAGCTTTGCAGGAGGGCAATTAAAACACCAAACACACATGCATTTAAGCAGGTCTTCTCCCAATAACCCAGTGAGGAGGACTGAGCATGCTCGGTGTCCATGGTTGTCATTTCCAGAGGAATCTGGTTGCTCGCCATTTGAAACAAAATCCTGGACTTGGTTTGTTTTACATTTAGCATGTAAAGGTAGAGGGACCCCTGACCATTAAGTCCAGTCGTGACCAACTCTGGGGTTGCGGCGCTCATCTTGCTTTATTGGCCGAGGGAGCCAGCGTACAGCTTCCGGGTCATGTGGCCAGCATGACTAAGCCACTTCTGGTGAACCAGAGCAGCACACGGAATCGTCATTTACCTTCCCGCCGGAGCGGTACCTATTTATCTACTTGCACCTTGATGTGCTTTCGAACTGCTAGGTTGGCAGGAGCAGGGACTGAGCAACGGGAGCTCACCCCATCGCGGGGATTTGAACTGCCAACCTTCTGATCGGCAAGTCCTAGGCTCTGTGGTTTAACCCACAGCGCCACCTGCACCCCCCATTTAGCATGTAATGTCCTAAAAACATAACTGTAGGATAGTTTAGATGGTGCTATGGGCTCTTCGAGGAAGGTGGTTCTTAGGTTCACTTTTTTACGCAGACTCTTCATTGGCTTGCTATGCCTGTTCTAGCACGACACCATAAGAACCTCCTCAATGAAATAAACTGGGTTATGTGCACACCCTTGTACGTCCAGGTTCTAGGTAGTTCTGGCTGGTGCTCGTGGAGACTGGTAGGGCGGAAGGGAAGGAGACCACCAGCAGGACAGTGACATTGGTGGGGCAGTGCCCTGTACCCCCTAATGGACCGGCTCCATTGGTTGGAGGATCCTATGCCCAACACTGCCTGGGCCCAGGGTGTAGTGCCCCCCCCCCCATTTCTTCAAAGCTCTCTCTGGCAGCCCATGGGTATTTTAGCCATCAAATTGAAATGCTGTTCTAAGAATAACATCAGTAACCTTTCAGAGATCTTGAGCCTTTCCTCCTATTCGAATCTTTCATTGTCCCTGGAGAGCTCTGGTTTCAAACTCGGGCCGCCGCTGGTACCTGATACTTTTCCTCCTTCCGAGAAGAGAAGGAGGGTTTCCACTACCGTCAGCACATTGGGCAGGCTTTCGCAAACATAACACCTCCTGGTATTTTCCAGCGCTTGGGAAGTGCTGAAATTGCAACCATCTACCCAAGGGAGGCTGTTTCTCTTTTCAGCTCCCCAGACCGAAATGGATTTGCATTTCCCTCAGCAGGTGTGACCAAAAGTGACTTGGCTGTCATGCATGTGCGTATATCAACCTGCAAAGGAGAATCCAGTGTGTAAAAAAAGAGAACCTTTAAAGGCATCTCTCTGTTCTGATGTTCAAGGTGTTCGTCATTCCTTATGGTGCCACTGTGCCACTGCCCATGCCCTAGAGGAGGATGTCCTGGTATGCTTGAGGAATTCTTGAGATTTGCAGAAGTACAAATCAACATTTTTTTGTGGGAGGTTCCCTAAAGAGGGGCACCCCCTGCTAAACGAAAACAAAAAACCAGGTCAACAAGGTTTAATCATAATAGGCCTAGAATGCTGACTGACTTGGAAACGGGCAAGTAAATTGATTGGAAATGACAAATGGAGTATTGTGAGACGGCATTGCTAGTTAGTTGGAACTGAACAAGAGCGCCTGACAATGCAACGTTTTCTTGCAGCTCCCTCCCTTTCTGGTATTTCAGCCTGGAGTCCAAACTGCAGAGTTCCATGATTGCATCTCTTTCCATCTCATGCTACAGAAGCAGCTGCCAGTTCCAGCTAGAAGTTGGTTGGGAGACTTCTTAAGCTGTCCTGTAGCCAGTTTCCTAGTCCAGTATTGCTTACTCTGACTGGCAGCAGTTCTGTGGGGTTGAAGCTGAGAGAGATCTTTCTTATAATCTGCTACATGTTCCTTTCAACTGGAGATTGTGGGTTGCATGCAGTTGCTCTACCACTTGGCTATTAATCCCTCCTCTTTTTATTTCTCTCAGAAACATAACAAGCTGCTGTTACAGAGTCAAGTCCATCTAGCTCTCTATTGCCTATACCTTGTGTAGGGGAACCTTTGGCCTTCCAGATGTTGCTTCACTACAATTCCCATCATTCCTGGCCATTGGCCATGCTTGCTGAGGGTAATGGGAGTTGTAATTCAGCAGTATCTGAAGGGCCAAAGGTTCCCCAAACCTGGCCTATAACTGACCAAGCAATACCTCCCCACCCCCAGGGCTTCAGAGATGAGTGTTTCCCAATGCTACCTGGAGATATGCAGGATTGAACCTGGGGTTTTCTGTATGCAAAGCAGATGCAAATTTAGAGTTGCCAGATGGTTGTTTGCGGCTGGTTGATAGCAAGATCAAGTAGATGGTTGCATCTGTGCTGTGGCCATCATAGAACAAGTGGCTCAGTTTGGAATTTTAATACCTTGGACAGGACTCTGTTGAGGAGGGAGTTGGTGTGCACAGTGTCCTGATTTCAATTCCCACCATCTCCACTTTTGTTTTGTTTTTAACTCTGGTGGGGAGCTGCTGTTACCAGTTAGTGTAAACTAGGGATGTATCAACTTACGTTATCTAGATGGTGTTGGACTCTAGGCCCTGTCGGCCTGACCTGTAGTCAGAGATGACTGTGAATAAGATCTATATACCACATAATGCTAAAATAGGCTTCTGAGCAGTTTCCAAAGAAGAAACACTGGGTACACAGACTATAAAATATAAATGCCTGGAATTAAAATCTACAATAAAACAATTCAGGAATTAAAACAGGAGGACAAAGAGACTGTGTGAACAGGTGTGTCTTTCAAAAGCAGGTGGAATGCCAATACAGATAGACCTTATAGTGCAGCAACAATGGTGCAAGACTATGTAAGATATCTTCATAGGTGGAGACATTTAGCATTTCTAAACATTAAGTGATATTGATGGAATCAGGCTTCAGTTTGTCTCTCCCTCATAGCCAATCTTTCTGCTGGCATACTGCACAAGTTGTCCCAGGAAGATGGGACATCCCGTTTCCTCACATGAGGGCACGGCGGCCATTTTGGGTGTTGAGATCTTGCCCGAAAAAAGCACTCCCTCCCCCCCCCCAAAAAAAACAGGTGGGGGGCCCTGCAATCTTGTGTGGGCCATGTGACTCGCACAGGAACACGGTGAGGAAGATGTGCGTTATGGTTTGGGAACTCAATATGTTGGTCATAAGTTGAGCCAGCTGGATGAGGCCCAATGGCCCATCTAGTCCAGCATCCTGTTCTCACAGTGGTCAGCCAGATGCCTCTGAGGAAACTTGCAAGCAGGGCCCAAGCACTAGAACATTCTCCCCTCCTGTATGGTTTCCAGCAACTGATGTTCAGAAGCATTTCTGCCTCCAAATGTGGAGGTAGAGCAATAGCCATCATGGCTAGTAGCTGTTAATAACCTTATCCCCTCAGAATTTGTCCAATCCTCTTAAGGCCGCCCAAGTTGTTGGCTATTACTTCCGCATGTGGAAGCGAGTTCCATAGCTTAACTTTGTCTGTGTAGTTAGTTCTTTTAAAAAGCTGACCTGCATCTGGCCTGTAAGGCCAAGAACAGATGTGGTTAAATGCTGAACCACATCTGTTCTTGGCCTTACAGGCCTGCGTTTCTTTCAATGATTCTACCCAAAAAGCCACACTTGGGGGGTAAAGAAAACGGAAACTGGTTTCATTGAAATTTTATTAATATGAATCTTAAACGGAAACTGGTTTCATTGAAATTTTATTAATATGAATCTTAAACAAGGCGATTTAACTTGAGCTGGGCGCACACCATGTATTTCTAGCACATTGAAAGCACATTATTTCCCATGAAGATTCCTGAGAGCTGTAGTTTACCCCTCACATAGCTACAAGTCCCAGCACGGTTAACTGCAGCTCACTGGATTCTTTGGGGGAAATAATGTGCTTTAAAAGTATTGTGAGTACACAGCCTTAAAGCTATGCTAACTTTGTATGGGGTAGATGCCTGTTGGAGTTCTGGGGTCTTCTCTAAAGAATTCTGGGAATTGTAGCTGAAGAAGAATCCTCTGGTAAAGTGGCTTAGCCTGGCTCTTTTTGCAGAACGACCGAATTACACTTTTACACCTGTTTTAACTCTGTCATGTAGATACACACTGGGACTGGATTTCCCTCACCCCTCTTTGCTTGCAAACATCTTGCTGTAGGGATGTAGAGATCTGTACACCAATATTTTTTATTTTACCTACAGACATTGTGAGACTTGCCCCTTTTGTCTATTTACATTGCAAGCAGGAAAGTCGCTTGGGTGGAGAGAGAGGGGGGGGACGGGACTCAGACATCAAGAATTAATTTCTTCCAGTGGGCCTTATTGGGTCAATTTAAATGATTCGCCAGTCATCATCGCCACAAACTCTAGAAGGGGAAAACAAACATAGATATTTATTAGGAAGAAGGTGGAATTGATGGTTTTTCTTCCTTCCTCCCTTTGCCCATTTCTTAACTTTCTGGTATATTTTCAAACACACATACAAGAGAAGTAAACCCTGCTGAGCTCAGTGGGGCTTGTTTGTTTATTTCATGCAATGTATTAATAGCACACTTCTCCCAAGCTATGACCTGTAGGATACCAGGTTTCAAATCCCCACTTGGTCATGAAACTCACTGGGTGACCTTGGGTAAATTTCTTAACCTACCTCACAGGGTTGTGGTGAGAATGAAAAAGGGAGGAGGAGAACCTTGAGCTCCTTGGGAGATAAAGTTGATATATAAATGTAGTCCCAATGGTTGGTCCATTGGTCAACATCATCTGCACCTTTTCAAAGGCCTGCCTGAATAGGTCTTCAGCCTGCTGGTGGACAGGAGGTAACTGGGAGGAGAGAATCCCACAATCTGGGAGCAGCCACAGAAAAGGCTCACTCTATCATGTCACCACTGACTGTGCCTCTGATGTGAATGGGACCAAGACAGGGTGCACGCCTGAGAATCTTAGCATACGGGCAGGTTCATAAAGGGAGATATGATCCCCCTAAGCCACTTATTAGCAAGCATTGCACTCGATAGGTACCATCCATTCTTTTCACATGGAGTCCTGCGCTGGTAGGCCTGACCATCAGCACCAGCCAGTCATTGTTCTGCCATGTTTGAGGTAGGCCTGGGTGTTGTGTAGAGTCCTGCCGGTCAGGCCCTTAGCTCCCAGAGTTTGGCCATGTTCACTTTAAACAGCCATGGCTTTCCCCCAAATTTTTGGGAGCTGTCATTTGTTAAGCGTGCTGAAAATTGTTAGGGGACAAGCTCTATTCCCCTCAGAGTTACAATTCCCAGAATTCCCTGGGAAGAGGGATTGGTTGCTAAAGCACTCGACTCTGTGAGGGGTGTTTTAATGGCTCTTGGCACCCTTAACAAATGACAACTCCCAGAATTCTTTGGGAGAAGCAATGGCTACTTATGTGCTTTGAATGTATGGTGTGAATGGGGCCTGCTGCAAGTTTGCTCCAACAGTGCCTGGTCCATGTGGCCTAGGAAATCAGGTGACGCTGAAGGAGCCAGTCAGCAGCTTAAGAGAGATGTAAGCCTTGCAGACCTTCTGACTTCCTTCTGCCTTGTTAGTGAGCCCTTCCTTCTGCCTCCTAGCTTCAGGCGCTCAGACTGCAACCTACCTTCATGGACCCTGCCTCAATTGCCAATCAATAGTTGTCACAGGAACATGCCGGTAAGTAATCGCACAGTTTAAAGTCGGATTTAACTATTTATTAGCAAAAACACTATTTCTGCAGACTTGGTTGTGTGTTTGACTTAATGAGTAGAGTAGCTCATTCCCAGTGGTCTTCCTCCATGAAAACCAGTTGATAAGTCTGAACGTCCCCACCTCCTCGCAGCTGTCCCCTCCTCTCCTGGTCTTTTCCCAAGCAATCAGAGACTGCGCCTGGGTGCAACCAACCTCTCCTCTGCCCTTTTCATACCTCTTCTAGTTCTGGAAGACCAGGAAAGAAGGGGGCTTGTCACAGTAGGAGGGGGAGACACCCGTGACTCTGCACCAGCCTGACTCATCTCTGCCTCTTGGCATCCCTTTCCTCACTTTCCTGCTTCAGCTTCTGCCTCTGATTCTGGACTTCTTTCTGCTACAGACTCTCCCAGCTCACTAAGCTCTGTTACCTCTTCAGCTCCTGATACCTTCTCTTCCTGGTCTTTCCCCCCTTTTCCCTCTGACCTCTCATCCTTCTTCCCTTGTGTGTGTGGGGGGTGTTCCTCAGCTGGTTCCTCCCCCCATTCCTCTGTTTCCAACCACTCTGTGACAATAGTTTGCTTTTTTCTCTAGTCAGCATAGAAATCCGAAAAACGACAGCCAGGTGTGGGTGAATGGAACCAGCTGCAGCCACTGACACATCACCCAAATAGAGGTCATCCACTAACAGTGAGCACCTGGACAGCAGACCAAAGAGAACACATGGGGGACCCAGTCACAATCTTCCCTGCTGTGGTGAGATGGATTGTGCATAGTAGTTATTGCAAAGTGTGCATCTCTACATATGTGTATCTTATTCAAATATATGCCCTCTCCGGGAGTTAATGTATTCCTTCTCCTTTGGCAATGTGGAAATAGTCAATGCCTCAAACTACTCCTGGAGTGGGGAACATTTTTTCAGCCATGGGGAGGGGACACATGACCTTCCGAGCAAACTTGTAGGGGGCTGCATGTTTGACAGGGCCAGTCCTGAATGAATGGCCCAGAGATTTAAGGGTGTCAGACCCTAAGGATGGGCCCTGAGAACCCAAAGTCTCTGGAGTCAAACCAGAGAGATTTTGGTCATATTAGTGAGACTTTCCATGTGTTCAGGGTGCAGGCAAGCTGTATCCTTAGCCTGGATAGGTCTTGCAGAGGCAGAAAGAGCACCCCTCCATTTGCTGCTCTGAAACAAACATGTACAGGGACATCCTTGGTTGGAGAGTGCCTATGAGCCAGACATTCTTGTCCATACATGATCTTGGGGGTGGGCAACACGCTCAGTTAGTCTTTGGGGGAAACTGTGTAAGGAACCTCCTCTTAGATAATACCACCTCTACGCCGGTGTCTGTACCAACCAAAACCACAACCACGTTTCTGTAGTAATCCAAGCATTGTTTTCAGTTTATTTATTGCATTTACAGTGGTACCTCGGGTTAAGAACTTAATTTGTTGTGGAGGTCCGTTCTTAACCTGAAACTGTTCTTAACCTGAAGCACCACTTTAGCTAATGGGGCTCCCACTGCCGCCGCGCTGCCGGAGCCCGATTTCTGTTCTCATCCTGAAGCAAAGTTCTTAACCCGAGATACTATTTCTGGGTTAGCAGAGTCTGTAACCTGAAGCGTCTGTAAGCTGAAGTGTCTGTAAGCTGAAGCGTCTGTAACCCGAGGTACCACTGTAAATCCTACCTTTCCTTCCAAGGAGCCCAAGGTTGCATACATGGTTTCCCACCCCACCCCCACACCCCTCATTTATCCTCACAACAACCCTGTGAGGCAGGTTAGGCTGAGAGGCAGTGACTGGCCCCAAGGTCACCCAAATGGGGGTTTAAACCCTGGTCTCCCCCAGGTCCTATGCCAATGCTTTAACCACTATACCACAACCTGTGAGATCAAACAATTGGGCAGCAACCACCGCATGCCCTCCTGCAATGCAAGAACGGTCTTTAGATCCTTGCCACGTATTTTGTAAAAGCAAAATAAGGGACAGTTGTTTTAAGAGAAGGGAAAGTGGCACACGCTGCAATTTATCAAATATGGATACTGACTAATGGCAGAATGGTGCACTATACTGCCATCTGCTGGAAAGTCTGAAGAACTGCGATGGTGCTTCCTAGGTTTATCTGTGTTTCAAGTCAAACATCCTACTAGGAAATTGGTTAGGAAATTGAGTTCAGGATACGTGCAAAATAATGGCGGGGACAGTAGAGTCAGATGGTGGTATCTCAGAGGGTGTAGCCAAATACCTGTTGTACTCTGTGAACTCTATAGACCAAGGTGTGCAGTGGGCGGGGGGGGGGGGCGAGAGGTTTTGCAGTTGCTTTAAGTCCCATTGAACTCAATGGGCATTACTTCTGAGTAGGCATGTACAGTATTGCACGGTGTGTGTGCACAAAACCTGTAAGAACCGTGGGTTTGCTGGATTAAGGTTGAGCAGTCTTGAACCATTGACTCGGCTACGGAGGGGCTATGGAATGTTCATTAAAACTCCAAAATTCTTAAAGAGAAAAATATGAATGCAATCTACAAAGCCCAGGTCAAGTAAGACCATGTTGCATTGGTGATAAGAGATTTAGAAGGAGGAGGAGGCAGACCTGTGGAAGTCTTGCCAGTTGTTAGATTGTGTGTGCATATTTCATTAATGCCATGTGTGTTTTGAACAAAAAGATAGGGATACTGATGTGGCTCAGTTGGTTAGAGCATGGTGCTGATAACGCGAAGGTTGCAGGTTTGATCCCCATGTGGGACAGCTGCAGATTCCTGTGTTGCAGGGGGGTTGGGCTAGATGATCTTCAGGGTCCCTTCCAACTCTACAGTTCTATGATTCTATGAATGATTCTATATGGCTGACTGTACCTATGAGATGTTCCTCCCTTCTAACTCCCCATGCATTTCTGATACCTTCGTAGTCAATGGTCCCATCCCCGTCTTTGTCAGCTTCTTTCATCATGAGTTCTGCTTCCTGTTCGTTCAGCGGCTCCCCAGCGTTCGTCAGCACGTACCTAAAGGGCAGAGGCCATGGTAAGGGTGGTTGTGCACTATCTGGTATGCTGCCTCTAAACATGGAGGTTCTGCTTTACCTTCACTCACAAAGAGCTATAGATCTGTTTGATTCATGCAGCGCATATTTAATCCATGGAAGTCACTCCCACAAGAGGCAGTGATGGCCGCCAACATGACAACCATCACAGATGTCATCTTGGATGAGCGGAATTGGGTTGCTGCTGGCCAGGATGAATACTGGGTGGCTTGAAAAGAGGACTGGACAAATTTGTGGAAGAGAAGGCTGTGGGAGGGGTAAACTACAATTCCTACGAATCTGGGAATTCCGCTCTTAACCCTTCATCCTGGTTTATTCGAGGTGAATGCCCATCAAAACCAGAACGATGGCTATGTTCTTCCTCCAATTCCTGGAAATGGCAGGTGCACAGCATGCCATTGTGCTCAGGTCCTGTTTGTGGCATCCGGACTGGATGGGCTGCTGGACTGATCCAGCAAACTCATCTCATGTTCTTAGGCATTTTCCTAGTCTGTACAGAACGGACACTGGGCTCACATACATACCCTATGATTAAAGCACACAGCTTCCCCACCAAAACAACCACACGGGAACTGTAGTTTACCCTTCACAGAGCTACAACTCCCAGCACCCTTAAGCTACAATCCCCAGGATTCTCTGGGCCAAAGCCATGTGCTTTAAACGGTGTGGATGTGAGTAGCAAACTTGGACGGGAGACTTGGCAACGCCCGCCCTCCTTTGCCCTGTCTTCTGCTCACTTACTTCAAGGTGTTCCAGTCAATGTAGCCTTTGTGCTCCTGATCAAAGACCTTGAAAGCTGCTCTTAGCTCTTCATCCTGGTTTTTTGACTTTTCGTGGTACATCCCCATCAAAACCAGGAACCCATCACAGTTGAAGGTGCCTTTGTCTAGGGGAAGAAAAGGAAGGAAGGACTTCTGGAATCCATTAATGCATTCCTATAAGCAGGTTCATTTTCAACCCAAGGGTCGAAAACGTTCCCTTCTGGACAGCTGTCCGAGGGACACATGTCAGTGGTGGTCAGGACCAGGGGCAGTGGATGCAAAACAGATTTTACGTTGGCTGTGCTTATGCAAAAGTAAGTCCCACTGGTGATTTTAGACTCTGGACATTTTAGACTTTGCTGCACTTTGGGATGCTTTCTGCTCGTCCTTTTCACCTAGGGCCACAGACATTTGTACCAGGCCTGTGCAGAGCTTGTCTTGATACTGGCATGACAGTGTAAGACCAGTAAGCCCCTAGTGGGGGGCCCTGGCTGGCTTAGCCTCCAAGGTCCAGGGCAAGTGTACCCGGCTGCCTCCTCCCTCTGCCTGGTCTGCCATACAGTCATGCCTTGAGGGTACCACTATAAATAGGCTCCTTTTACTGGGAGGAATGGTTGGGAATTGCAAACTAATGTGTGTGGGCAGGGGAAGAGAAAAATAGAACATATGTGTAACACAGAGAGAGGGATGCTATTGCCCCTGTTTGCTCCACTTGCCAAGCTCTTTGCCTTTCCCACACACCTGACCAACCCCCAACCCCACTTTGCACCATACCCTCACCTATCCCCCCCATAGCTGGCACCAAGCTCCACCCCCTTTTAAAGGAGAAGGGGCTTCAGAGTGGCCTGCTAAGCCGCTGTGTGAAGCACCTTCTTCACCTCCGTTAAACCTCACCACAAGTGTGTTTACCAGAAGTGGGAGGTGTTTCAGAGTGGCTCTCCCCCTCTGTTAAATGACTTGGCTGGACCAGCCTGCCGTTCCTCGTGCTGCAGTTGGAGTGGCTGCCTCTCAGCAGCTATGCAAACTGCAGAGCGTGACAACGTTTTACATTTTTCTGTATATAGCAAGATAATACGGAGCTCCCTTATGCTGAGTCAGGCCATTGGTTCATTAAGCTCACCATTGTTGATGCTGACTGGCAGCACGGCAGGGTTGTCTCTCCCTGCGCTACCAGGAGACACCAGGAATTGGACTTGGGCCCTTTGGCATGCAGAGCAAATTCTCCACCCCTGAGCTGTCGCCCTTCCCAGATAGATTGACAAACACAAACTCTCTCTCTTCCCACAGCCCTTCCTTTAATTGTAGCACTATTAGATTTGGGGGCCAGAATTCTTTCTGAAAAGCCAGGCCAGACGGGGAATCCTTACTGTCTTTGTCCACATCCTTTGCCATCGTTGCCAGCTCTCTCTTGGTGGGGTTGATGCCAATCAGGCTCATGAGCCTCTCCAGCTCATCCGTTTTCACCAAGCCGTTCCCCTCTTCGTCGAACATCTCAAAGATGCCCTTGTACTCGGTGATCTGCTCCGGCGTCAGGGCGATCGACTGCAGGTGAAGAAAGGCATTAAGCGACTGGTGCCTGGGTGACAAAACGATGTCTTGGATAGTGTTCCTGTTCAGGGGGCCCCAGCCAACCTCCTTTCCCACAGTACTCCGTTCCATTCCCTCCAGGGATCTGTGCTGCCCTGTCCCTGCCAGCCAGCCAGGATTCCATGCCCACAGAGCATGTTCATGTCTTGTTTGCCTCTTTCAGGAGAGTTGACCCCATAGGGTCGCCCCCTTTTGTACTTTTGCAAACCTTGACATACATACACACAAAGAGAGAGAGAGAGAGCAAGACGCTGGCATTTGCTCACACACACCCCCCCCAAAAAAAGAGAAAAGGTTGCCTCAGACTGAAAATATTTCCTCACCTCTTCCCTAAGCAAATAAATATCACTGTACTTTCTGCAACACAGGAATGGACCTTTTCTGTGGTGGCTTCCCTTTTGTGGAATGCTCTCTCCAGGGACGCTCGCCTGGCGTCATCTATATCATCTATGGCAAAAACTTTCCTCTATAACCAGGCCTCTGGCCTTTAGCTATCTGTCACTTTTTAGAAGTGGGTGGGATGTTTTTAATATACATACATTTTCTCCTCCATTTTAATGTAGGGGGGGTTGGTGTGTGGGTTTTTTTGTTTTTTGTTTGTTTTGGTATATCAGTTGGCTTTGGGTTGCCCTGAGCAAGTTAAAGCAACTAACAAGTTTAATAAATAATTGCAGAAGTAATAATAACAACAACTCCATTTCCCTTTGTGCTCACCATGGACAAACCATCAGTAGCCCTCCACCATATGTGATCTGAGGAAGTGGCCATATTCCTCAGTGATTTGTGCCAAAATTAAACTCACCAGTCTTTCCTTAATTTGCCACAAGACTTTTTTTGTTTGTTTGTTTTTAAGACCTGGGCACAGCTATTCACCCAGCCATGAAATTCACCTGATGATAGCCTCTCAGTTTAGCCAACCTCACTGGGTTGTTGTGAAGAGGAACACACACCATTGCTTCTGGGAGGAAGAAGAGAGGGAAAAAGCTTGCCACCTGTTTTCAGAGTTAATTTTGAGCTCAAACTAGGAGCAAGCACCAGAGGGCAGTGTTGTGTAGCTTCAGGATCCTGAGCGCTATTCAATCCATCCCAGAATGATTTTAGTATCAGCAAAGCATTTTCGAGCAAAGGGTAGTTGGAGGCATTTCCAATTTATAACTACAAATTTATTTATTTATCTAGTCTAATGGAAGCCTTGTACGAATTTAATTTGCCCTTTGTTGGAATACGTCTTGCTTTTGGCCATAGCTGTTGCCAGGGGGGTGGGAGATAAAATAATAGAATTCTAGAGTTGGAAGGGGATCCCAAGGGTCATCTAGTCCAACCCTCTGCAATATATATGATCAAGGTTTGTTTACCATCCCCTTGAGCACAACGTCTAGGGCATTTTACAAAAAGCAGATGCAGAAATGAAATATAACAAGAAAAGAAAAGAAAATGTTTTTAAAGGGCATGGGGGCATTTATGGGAGAATAAACATGTCTGCCTAGGGGTGGAAGAAGAATCAGGTTGGTGCCAGGTGGGCCTCTTGGGGGAGGAAATTCCACAAACACTCTGCTACCTTTTTCTCTCTGGCCTCGCATCACCTGGAGGAGACTCTCTGAAGTTTTTCTCCCTCACTCCTAACATTAGAACTCAGAGCTATCAAGTAAAGCAGTGTTTTGGAAGATTCAAGTGCAGGCCAAGGAAACTGATTTCTTCACCCTGCACACATAGCTAAACTTAGGGAATTTGCTCCCCCAAGAGGCCTCGGCAGTCACCAATTTGGATGGCTTTGGAAGAGGGTTAGGCTAACAGTGGCTGCTAGCCACATAGGCTGTGTACACACTAAGCCTTTTAAGCACATTCAGAGCACGTGCTTTCGTAGAATCATAGAGTTGGAAGGGACCTGGAGCATTATCAAGTCCAACCCCCCCCCTGCAATGCAGGAATATGCCGTTGTCCCATATGGGGATGGAACCTGCGACCTTGACGTTCTCAGCACCATGCTCTAACCAACTGATCGAGAACCCAAGGGCATAATTCTTTCCCTCAAAGAATTCTGGGCACTGTAGTTTGTTAAGGGGGTTTCTGGGAAATTGCGACACTCGGAGGGGTGAACTTACAATGCCCAGAATTCTTTGGAGGACAGAATGTGTTTCGAATGTGCTTTAAAGTTATAGTGAATATACAGGCTGTGTTCTGCCATCCTGTCGGGGGCAGGATGCCTCCATATACTAGTTGCTGTGGTGAACAAGTGGGGAGAGTGTGCCGGTGAAATAAATATATGTTTGTAAGAGAGGCGGGGGCAAGGAAGAACAAGAGGAATAGGGGTCAGTGGTGGGTTAGACATTAACTGCAAAGAGTGGTGATTCTGATAGTATTTGGGGGCACAGGGTCGGTCTGACCCAGATTATTGCAATTAATGAGCATGACTAATTAAGGTCCATTAATTTCAGCAGGTCTATTCTGGGCAGGACTTATGTTGCCTACAATCCACTTTTTAAAACTAGGGTCAGGATTGTGTCCTTTAACACTCCTCTCCCCCACTTTCCTGTAGAAAAATATATATCTGAGGGTATCGCCGCTCCTGCTGATTTCAGCTCCCAGGTGGAGACTGTGTACCCCGGCATCCCATTCATGAGGTTTTTTATTTCATTGAAGACTGAGAAAACAGAAACTGTTTGAGAAGGGGAAGCACTGAAGGTAATTGTTGCTACAGCAACACATCGTCTGCGTGGTTTGCAACAATTATAATAAATATGATTGATTGTTCTTTAGAGAAAGGTGCTTGGGATATCAGATCCCTGCTTGAGAAAGCACTTGGTTTATTAAAAAGAAATCCAGGAAGATATCAGTAATAATAGGCATGCTCTTTCATTGATATATCAAGGGAACTTTGAAGTTCTGAACTTTGATTGGACTTTCCCCATTAACTGTAGTCACCCAATGCTTTGAAAGCACTGCTGGCAAAAATGAGGCGTTTATATGAGGGTGGGCCTTTTTGGTGGTGGTGGGAATATAGTCCTCTTTCAGTAATTTGAGAATGGGATGCAAAATGGGCTGAATGGCTCCATCCTTTCAGAATGAACCAGATATTCAACCAGGCAACATTGCTGCCACCTTGAATCGGCTTTGTGATGTCATCGCATGCCCAAATCTGATTGGCTACATAGCACCGCATCACATTTAATCCATCGGGGGGAGCCTTTGGCCTTCCAAATGTTGCTGAGCTGCCACTCCCATAATCATTGGCCAGGCTTCCTAGGGCTGATGGGAGTTGTAGTTCAACAACATCTGGAGGGCTAAAGGTTTCCCACACCTACACTATGTGATCTCTGATTGGTTGGGATCACATTCTCAGGGGCAGGACAATCAACAGACCCAAGTTAGATCGTGACCATTGATTTCAATGAGTCTACTCTCAGTAGCACTTAATTAGATACAACCACGTGTTTTTGGACCCCCTTCAATATTGAAGCCCGGAAGTTGAATATGAAGCTGCTACATGCACACCCACCCCTGAATAGCTGCACTGGTGAAAAGTCCTCTATCAATCCCTCTGATTGCAAACACAGTGCTCCCGTGCCAGCAGAAACAGTGCCAAATCTGTGCCACTAAGCATTAAAATAATAAAATAAGCAAAAAGTACATACACACACATAAAAAAGGTAAAAGTACCCCTGCCCGTACGGGCCAGTCTTGACAGACTCTGTGGTTGTGCGCCCATCTCACTCAAGAGGCCGGGGGCCAGCGCTGTCCGGAGACACTTCCGGGTCACGTGGCCAGCGTGACAAGCTGCATCTGGCGAGCCAGCGCAGCACACGGAAACACCGTTTACCTTCCCGCCAGTAAGCGATCCTTTTTATCTACTTGCACCCGGGGGTGCTTTCGAACTGCTAGGTTTGCAGGCGCTGGGACCGAGCAACGGGAGCGCACCCCGCCGCAGGGATTCGAACCGCCGACCTTTCGATCGGCAAGCCCTAGGCGCTGAGGCTTTTACCCACAGCGCCACCCGCGTCCCTACACACACATACACACACACACAAAAACCCCACTCTCTCAGACAAGCAGCCCAGAAAGGAATAAGCATGCTGAGTGGTCTTCGGCCGTCTCAAAATGTTGGAGGGAATGAATTCGTCTCGTTGAGCCTCATACAGATTATATAGCACCCTGGAGAAGGAGGTGGATGAATGGACAGGAGAACTCTGGTTATGGGTGAAGATTTAGAGACCCTCCAGAAGCCCTTTTTATGGTGGGTTCACAATGATTTGTAGTAATGATGGTATCAAGGTGGTTATGCAATATCCTTGCTTCCAAAACAGTGTGCGCCTGCCAAGTTTTTGGGTAGACATAGTGCTGCATTTCCAATCACACTGTGTGACCTGTTGAAATCCTGTAACTTTTCATCCCACAAATATTCCAGTTTATTTTTTGGTTTGTTGTTTGCTACAGTGCAATAATTGCCCCTGCAGACGGCAAACATTAGGGAAGTATCACTAATAAGCGGGGGGGGGGGATGACTGGCCCTGTATAAATCTACCACGAATACCCTATTGCTGCATAATACACCCTGCCCCCCCCCAAAAAAAAATCCCACCGTGTAAAACAGCAATACTTTGTTACTGGTCTGATTTGTGGAGAACATTTGAATAATATATAAAAAGTTGTTTTTTTTGTTTGTTTGTTTCTTTGCTGCATCAAAATTTTAAAAAATCTATTTAGTCCTACATTTGGGAGATTTGCCTATAAAAGCAAATAATCAAAAGCTAGATAACCTCCTCTGATAATCTCAGGTTTTCTGGTGATGGTATCTAGAGGTCTGCCACAGAGGTTCCATTTAGCAAAGGCTGTCAAATATACATTGAGAGATCTTTTCCGTGAGCTTGGTTAACACTTGTACTATCTAAAGGCATTAAAGGAAGGGGTCCTGTTCAACCCTCTAAAGATCTTTTGCTAATGTTCCTAAACGTACTGCGAAGTCCACTACTTTGGATGAACCCAAGTTGTGGAAAGGGCAGAGGGACAATGTCCCTCTATCCCCATTTCACTTGTTCAGTGCAACAGGAAACCTCCAGTTAGGAACAGAAGAAGCTGCCTTGTACTGTCAGAACATTCTATCCATTTAGTTCAGTAATGCCTACACTGGCGAGCAGCAGCTCTTCAGGATTTCAGGCAGGGAGTCTCTCCCAGTCCTACCTGGAGATGCCAGGGGTTGAACCTGAGACCTTTTGCATGCCATGCGGATGCTCTGCCACTGATGCTCTACCCACATAGGAAGCTGTCTTAAGCTGAATCAGACCATCGGTCCATCTAACTCTGTACTGTCCACACGGACTGGCAGCATCTCTCCAGGTTGTTAGTCAGAGGACATTCCCAGCCCTGATTTGAAGATGCTGGGAATTGAACCAGCATGCAGAGCAGGTGCTCTAACCACTGAGCCACAAAACACTCCCCAGTTCTGAAAGCATAATTCCAGTTAATTCAAAGTTGCGGAAATTCCAGGTAAAAGGAGACTCACCATTTTCTTGGTGTTTTCGAACTGCTTCGAGAAGGTGAGTTTGCCGGTGGAGGAGTTGAGCACGAGGACAGGGCATGAAGTCACTCCCTTTTACAGCTAGAGAAAAAGTGCTCAGCACTCAGGACCCAGGGGGATGAGCCTCTTGGCAACCTTTTATGGAAGTGAAGGTGGAGGGAGCCCTATTTCTGGAGGGTTCTTCCTTCTCAACAGCACCTGCTGCTGCGTCCCAGAGGCCCCCTGGCTACAAGGCAACTTCGATGGCTATTTTGTGTGGTCACAACGGTGAGGAAGAAAAGCCCATTTTATTCATTCAAAAATGTCACCCCTACTTCACATTCTCTCTCTCTCTCTCTCTCTCTCTCTCTCTCTCTCTCTCTCTCTCTCTGAGTTGTTTGTAAAAGCATTTATATGAATAATAAGGCAGAGGCAGGGGTGTTTGGCTTTTGTTTTAGCAAAGAGTGGTGCAGGTGAAAGGACTGCAACAGTTCCCTGCTCCCAAGGAGCTTACAAATGTAAATTGGGCAGGAGGAAGAAGACTCAGGACAGTGGAACAGACTCCTACAAGAGGCAGTGGACTCTCCTTCCTTGAAGGCTTTTAAGCAGAGGCTGGATGCCCATCTGTCATGGATGCTATAGCTGAGATTCCTGCATTGCAGGGGGTTGGACTAGATGACTCTCGGGGTCCCTTGCAACTCTACAGTTCAATGATTTTATGCTATACTGTGTTCAAGAACCATTCCCCAACCCTTCATATACAAGCTGTGTTTTGGATTGTGATGTTAAGCTGCAATCCTCAGCGCGCTTACCTGGAAATAAGGTCCACTGGATTCAATGGGAGTTTACATCTGAGCAGACGTCTCTAGGATTGCATTATTTGCTTCATAAAGTATGACCCCCACGACATTCTGGCGACGTGGAAATAAGTGAGTGGAAGCACTCTCGCTGCTTCTAAAGGCTCTTTTTAGGACAAAGAGGGTGTTTTAAAAAACAAAAAACACCCATACATTTCAAAGAATGGAGCGAGGAAATAGCTACAGCTGCAGGGGAATGAGAAAGATAGCAAAAAGAGATCCTTTCCTTCCAATTTGTAATTATTTCCCTTCTGGACTTTTTCCACCAAAGTACATTTCAGCATTAAGCACTTTGCTCCGGATTGCAAAGTTTTATCTGGTGTGGTCACTTCTGAAAAACAGAACAAAATGTATCTTAGCAGTAAGGCAAGGGTGGGAAACCTTAGGCCTTGTGACTGTCCCCAGACAACCAGCCCTCCTCCCCATCCTCCTTGCATGTTTTTGCCTGTCTGGAATGTGTCCTTGAACTCTGATCATGCTTCTTGCTTGCCTGGAAGAAGGACAGAGAGTGTGTGTGCAGGAACCAGCGGCGGCCGCCAAGACCACATAACACCGGTCTTGAAAGACCTACATTGGCTCCCAGCACGTTTCCGAGCACAATTCAAAGTGTTGGTGTTGACCTTTAAAGCCCTAAATGGCCTCGGCCCAGTATACCTGAAGGAGCATCTCCACCCCCATCGTTCTGCCCGGATGCTGAGGTCCAGTGCCGAGGGCCTTCTGGCAGTTCTCTCATTGCAAGAAGCAAAGCTACAGGGAACCAGGCAGAGGGCCTTCTCGGTAGTGGCGCCCGCCCTGTGGAACACCCTCCCATCAGATGTCAAAGCGATAAACAACTACCTGACATTCAGAAGACATCTTAAGGCAGCCCTGTTCAGGGAAGTTTTTAATGTGTGACATCTTAGTTTATTTTTGGTCTTTGTGGAAGCCACCCAGAGTGGCTGGGGAAACCCAGCCAGATGGGCGGGGTACAAAAAATAAAATATTATTATTATTATTATTATTATTATTATTATTATTATTATTATTATTACACTGGTCAACAACAAATTTGTTGTCTGTGTTTTTTCAGCTGATTTAGGACAAATCTGATGCGCTGAATCCAAAAATCACATTGGTTTTGCTCAATCAGGTCAAGTTTTTGAGCTATGGCCACATGTCATTTTTTTACGTTTTTGTTCACATGTACGCTTGTGTGGAGCATTTTAGAAGAAGTTGGTGGGGGTAAAACCATGCCGAATAATTGTTTTGATTGGAAATGATTATTTTAATGACAAGAAGTATTCAGGTCCGATAGTTCTGGGTGATTATGTCGAAAAGGGATCAGTTTGAAGTCATAAAACCTCGAAATCTTCCATAAATTGGTGCGGCAAAGCATAAAGTTGGCGGATCAAAACCCCTGGCTCACTCGAGTACACTGAAGGAGAACTATGAAGGGGTGAAGTATGTGCTGGAGAAAATTGGTTATGATCAGCGTAAGTGGTTTATTTGTGTTGACCTGAAGATGGTGAACTTTTTGTTGGGACAACAGTCTGGCTTCACCAAGTACCCATGTTTTGTGTGCATGTGGGATAGTAGGGACCGTGCTCAGCATTACACGAAGAAGGACTGGCCTGTGCGGGAGGAATTGGTGCCTTGCAGAAAAAGGAACGTCATCAACGACCCTCTGGTGGACAGAGACAGAATACTCTTCCCACCACTGCACATCAAGCTCGGCTTAATCAAGCAGTTCACCAAGGCTCTGGACAAGGATGGTGACTGCTTCACTTACTTGTGCCAGGCTTTTCCAGGATTGACCATGGAGAAGTTGAAAGCTGGCATCTTTGACGGACCTCAGATCCATCAGCTCATCAGAGATCCAGAGTTCGGAAACTCAATTAACGAAGTGGAACTGGAAGCGTGGAAGGCATTTGTTCTGGTAGTGAAGAACTTTCTTGGCAACAATAAGGCCAGAAACTACGCAGAGCTTGTCAACAACATGCTGACTGCTTTCAGAAACCTGGGCTGCAACATGACCATCAAGATGCACTACCTATTTTCACATATGGACCGGTTTCCTGAGAACCTGGGTTCAATGAGTGACGAGCAGGGGGAGAGATTCCATCAGGACATGAAAGAGATGGAGACCAGGTATTAGGGTCACTGGGACGCAGTCATGATGGCTGACTACTGTTGGACTCTGAAGCGAGACCTCCCTGCCGCTGAGCATTCCAGGAGTTCCAAGAAACGGAAGTTCAAGCCCTGAAGTTTGAAAAATGGTGAAGCAACATGCAATTTACGTGTACTTACCTTTATCAATGCCCACCATTCAGTTTACAGTAATCGATGTTTCTATCAGGTAATCAATATATATTGTTGGAAAAACATTTTTTTCTCTTAAAAACATATTTAGGATGATATGTGTTGTCAAAAATCAGCTGATAATGCCACAAAAATGTAATCGATTTTGTCACAAGATCTGATTTTTTTCAAATCAACATAGCACAAAAACCTGACCTGATGGAGAGAAACGGATGCCATTTCCTGATTCAGCAGTGCAAAAATACCCTAAATCAGTTGTAGAAATCTAGACAACATTCAAAAAGTAAAAAATTGTTGCCCAGTGTTGTTATTATTATTATTATTACCACCATACCAAGGTAAAATTCACATTTGTTACTCCACCAACTTTTGCCTCTGGACCTGCCCATCTAGGGCCACGTGGCTCTTGGATGGTTGCCCACAAGGTAACATGGCCTTAGAGCTGAAAGAGCTCCCCCACTATTGCTATAAATGATTGCTTACAAGCCAAGGGGCAGACAGCGAAGCAGTGTAGAACAAGGCATGCAAGTCCTGTCCAGGAAAGGTTCGTAGTCTAAGTCTAATGAATGAATATTGAGAAAGGGAGGAAAGGGCAGAGCCAATGGCCTGGTCCAGTTGTGATGTACCTATTGCAGCCTCTAGCTGTGTGTTTCTGGCAGCAGCAGTGGTTTTCCAAGATGGGGTGCTCCTCCGATGGGGTTCTCCACAGTGGTTGCTGGCGTGGCTAGAATAGAGCAGGGTAAGGTGTGTGAGAATGTCGCACATAGCAGTTCCTGGAGTGCCAGGTTGTGTACAATGATCACCAAACTCCATTTGTATGTGATCAACACACAGATCAATTGCATATTCTTTAAGGTGCATTGAAAAACTGGTTTGACTCTGAGGAGTCCCTTTCTCTTGGTGCAATTCCCCCCCCCCAGCCACCCACTCCCTCTGTCTCCTGACCCCTGTTTTCCTCCTCCTAAGCAAAGTGTCCAGCCTCTGCTGGCACTCTTAATGAGTTATGCCCCTGGCGGCATTTCCCGTAAGGGAGCAAATAGCAGCTCTGATTAGCCAGAACAGAGCCTAGCATGATTGCCAGAGCACGTTAGAGAGTAATTGTACAAATGTGCCATAACATCTCTAATGCGGAGATTAAGAGAACGGTTTGGAGAGCAGAAGGCCGTGAAGTAGCAGCGGCAGAGAAGGAGGGCAGAACTGGGGCGCTGGAAGAGCGGTCGGTTTGAGATTTCAGCATTTAGCAATGCCAAGTATTCCTAGATCCAGGAGAACATTGACAATAGCTTGCATCAATGTGTTTGTTTATACCATATGACCCCCAACTTTTTATTCCAAGGTGGCGCACACACTTCTCCCTCTATTTTATCCTCACAACAACCCTGTGAGGCTAATTCTTGTTTAGTCTCCATCCTCTGCCCTGCCGAGTTCTACAACACTGAGCCTGAGGAAGGTGTCAGCCCGGGCCACCCCTTGGACAGCTTGCAAGAAAGAAGGCAGGCAGGTGGGAGCTGGCTCAGGGCTGACCCCAATGCCCCCTTCACCCTATTCTGAAGCCATCCAAGTTGGTGGCCATCACACCCTCTCGTGGGTGTGAATTAATCATTTAACTATATGCTGTCCCTGTATCTGCCCTGAATCTTCCAACATTCTCCTTTGCTGAATGACCCTGGTTTCTAGTCCCTCCACAGCTTGCATAATCCTGCACACCTCTGCCATGTCCCCTCTTCCCTGCCACAACTTTAAGCATGCAGATAACGCCCTCTGGCTTTGTGTGTGTGTGTGTGTGTGTTGATTGCCCTACGTTTGTTGCAGAACCCAATGGGGGAAAGCGTCTTTCTTGCAAGGAAATAGGATGATACGGTTGCAAGCAGAGCACCTGTTGTTGTCCCTAAAGGCTTTAATCAGCACCACCAGCACCATGCCAGGTGGATAGCAGTCCCAAGAGCAAAGGCTCTCCAAGTTGCACACGCCATATAAGGGGAGCGGACAGAGGACAAGCATATTTTGAACACTGTCAAGGGAACTGGAAGCTACTAGCTATGGAAAGCCACTAAGTTTACTCCTGCTGCTGGGCCTGGGAGGGGAAATACTGCTGAGGAGGCTGACTTTGGGGGGGGGGAGATGTTACCAGCTTAATAGGGTCACATTTGCTCAGAGGAACCTGGAGCCTCAGATTGGCTGATACTGTACTTTAAATGAAACTTCACTCTCCACAGCCCTAAATGCTGCTGGCTATGGAGTGAGACAAGTCACTTCTAGACAATCTGTTTATTGAGCATTTGTCACGATTCATTAGAACAAAGTTTGAGATGAGGTTAGATGATGTTGGCTATTAATTGAGCATTCATTCTAATCTAGAGCATGCCAGGCATCCTTTTCAATTGTGCATTCATGACTATTTGTGCTCATGGTGGTGTTGGGGTGGTTATATGTGATCTGGCTTTCGGTAGTGTTTGCAAAAATTCCAGGGTGCTTGTTTTCCAATTGGTGCACATCCCAACATTTCCTGCTGAAGCCCTGTAATTTTAAATACCACAAATGTTCCGTTTGTTGGGTTGTTTTGTCCTGCTTTTGTTGCGCTGAGTTGCCCTCCAGACAGCGATGGTGCCGTCACATTGGAGTAGCATCACAGAATAATACTGAATGGTGTGTGGATGGGTCCAGCATAATTCCACCATTAACGCACTATTATTGTGTCAACTGCACCTTGCAGAAGACACCTGTTTAAAAGCACCCGTTTGGAGTGGGCCCTCTGATTTATGGGGAGGTGAAATTACACTGTGGGAAGCAAATGTTGCTCCCCCTTTTCCAAGCATTTCCTCATTGCTGTTATTATCCCAAAGAATTCAATTTGCAGAGTGGCAGGTAGTGAGATTGTTGTGCAAGAGCTCCAAAATCGTCTTTGATTGTGCTCCCTGATGCTGTTATGTCATTAAATCTGACCTCCAAAGCAGCGACAGTCTGGAAGCTC